AAAGGTTGCCGGACCCTCGTGTTTGCCACCTACCGCTTCGTGTGCCGTGTCGGCCTTAAATAGGTGCTCGCTAACAGCACTTGCCCCAACAGCCTGTCGGAGGCTACACGGGGGCCTTTATCTGGCGACAATAACGACGGAGTGGCAGCCGACCGAGCGTGTGCGGGAGCTTGGGTGAGGGATGTTGACTGCCATGTGGAGGGGCCTTGATCCAGCAGTGGATTGATCATGGCTGATGATGATGATGATGAAAACGTCAACGAGTGCCTTTTTCACCTCCTCGATATCCTGTTGGGCCATTGATGGCCAGGGTTCGGCTCACTTCGACCGTGGCTAATTGACAGTTTCCTGCCGTGCAATTCAGATATTGGGTTGACTCAGACCGCCCTTATCATCAGTGTCGGATGAAGCTAGTGCTTGGCCTGGAGCATACGTTATAAAGGGGCCCTAAATAAAAAAAAAACACGTAAATATTCCAACACACAACATTTTTACTTGCATAGTAAAGTCATTGGATTTTTTTATTTTCTATACAGCCAGTTAATACGACAAATCGCTAACCTTAAACACCCAGTCATTTATACAAGTTGAAGGCAGTATAGTGCTATAGTAATCGAGCAAGTGCAGAATTACTGAACCGGAATTGATTGCTTGGAAGCATTTAGCGCGGGGCCCTTGAAAGTGCGGGGCCCGTAGCATATGTAGCTACTTTTGCTCTTGGGATAATCCGGGACTGCTTATCATCATCATTATCAACCTTCCGGAGTCAGTAAACAGGGACCACGTGGCGAGACTGCATGACTCGGATGGCTCTTTTATTTTTGTTTGAACCAGGTGCATTTTTTTTTTAGTTTTGGGAGTAAACATTTTACCTTCATGTGACTCGGGAGCCCTGAAATGTAAGAGCCCGAGGAAATATGACGCAGTCTGCCACTTTGTTATTGCATCAATTCGCCTGTTTGTGTGTACACACACACGGTATACGTGCAGCCGGAGCCGTCCCGAGGGTAACGGCGACTCGGTGTCAGATCGCGTACTTAAGGTTTGGTTTGAAGGCGTTGGGGGTACCCCACACCAGTGCGGTTTGCCCCGGGACCCACACACCCCACCCCCCCTATGGACGGACGGCCGTGCGTGCGTGCAGTGGCTTGCCCATATTCGCAAACTCATTCCCATATGTAATCTTTCGACACAATAGTTCAGATGAAACCTCAATATCTGCCGGACGTTGCGACGTTACAACACCCCGCGCGCGTGTGCCCTCGACGTTTTTTGAAGACGCGCGACTCATCAATATAGATTCGTACAATGCACCCCGTGTACCCTCTTTCGCTCTATACGCTATCAAGAAGAAGAGTCGTCGTCCAAAACGTTAATTATTTTATATATGTAATTGTCCCTGTTAAGGCCACACACCGTTATCGGCCAATGCGTTGACATTACATTTTTTGCGGCGTTTCTGCGCGCGTGTGCACCCGCTACCAATAATGCGAACTGACCACATAAATGCTTTAATATCAGACGCGACCAGCGCGGACAGACACGCACGCCGCAGGAATGTTGAGAATTTCCACCGTGCGGCCTCGTGACCGACAGCACAGAGGCGAGAAACCGGTCAGCGCTGACCCTCAGTGTGAGCGTTCGCCGCGCGCGTGAAACCACGGAGGGCGAGAAGCACGTGGCTGGAGACCCGGGGAAGGATGTCACCGTGAATCAGGGCATGATAATGACTTTAAAACAAAAAAAACTTGATGCCACAATAATGGGGAGGGGATGTGGTCACAAAGTGTCCCGGTCACTTCCTTAAGCCCCCACTGACCAGGTGCTGTCCATGCTACGTGGTATACGATGGTGTAACAATTGGGGGGGGGGGTAGGGTGCTGTCACGTGGTGTATCTGAATGGTCATTCGTTCAAACCGCTGACCCAAACTTAGCACCATCGTCATCATCAGCAACAGCTCGTAATCCACCTGCTGGGGACAGACATATTCTAGTTGCAAACCATCGACATATTGCTCACGAGCCTCCGATGCAGAAACAATCCCGTATGAGAATACATTTCCATTGCTGGATCTCTCCAGCGGACGTTGTCATCATCTGCTTCGCTTGCCTCGTCTCGCCTAGACCAGCAGCCATCATCATCATCACACCAACTTGCGCCTAAGCCCACCTCACGTCTGTTAAATCAATCGGTTTTTTTGATTAGTCTTATTTGTGCCGATGCCTCCCATCACTGCGTGGTTCTTTCTCAGTTAAACGCTAAGCATGCACCTCTCTCCATGCTACTTTGCACACTTTTCCAACTTGCCAGCTTATCTTTAAAAAATAAATGATACAGCGTCTTACATAAGGCGCTTGACACAGACTTTACGATGGTACTTGTGTGAATATAATGGTGGGGATGAGGTGAATGAAATAGATGAGGAAGGATGCGATGGGGAGCAAATCTGTGATGCGTGAATTGTGTGAAAGCGAAGTTGATGACAGTAATGACGAGTTGATTGAATGAATGGAGAATGAGTGAAAGCCATATTATGAAAATTATGATTCACGATGACCACAGCACCACGGTCACGTTCCCCCACCACCCCCCTCTCGACCTTCTACGCCCCAACCCACCGAGACTCGCGCACTCCCAACGCCGCACCCACGTGGAGTTTTGCGACGTTCGTTTGCTGTGTCGTCATTCCCTCAGCCACGTGTCACAGCCAGGTAACGTCACGGGCGTGGGGGGCCCAGTGGGTGCCAAAGGTACGAGTTGCGATCTAATCCCGCCCCCCCCCCCCGCCCCCAACAAACAACTATTATGGATTATTTTTTTTCACACGCGTTGCCGTCAGGGTTTTCAACGGGCGGTGCAGTTTTAAAGAGCGGGCGGGGGGGTGAGAGTGCATTATTTAATCTCAAATAAAGTCACAAGAAATCGCAATCGAGCGCCTTCCCGAAGCAGCCACGACGCGCTTGCCGTATGAGGTTGCCTCGGCCACCACTCGCCTTCTACGATTAGCACGGGTGACCTCGTGCGGTGCGAAATAAGTTAAAAGTACGTACAAGTCTGCGTTTGGGATAACCTCCAGGATGTTGGGGGGGGGGGGGAGGTCCCCACTATCCGCCAGCAGAACTCTTGACTACACTGGAATTTTGGACAATCGCGATTTTGCTCAGCCCCTTTGGTGACACTTGTGAGGTTCTGGAGATCGATAACGTGAAACCCGAGGTCCCACCACTCCCTCCATCACAGAACCCCGACACCACACAGCTCCTCCCACTCGTTGTCACGAGGCGACCTCGCGGGCAGACGCCACAATCCACCAGACGGCACCCCACGCTTCACTATGCCACACACACACACCAGACTCGACACCATCCAGCACCGCAGTTCACAATATCCATCAGTAGTCGGTTGTCCAATGTTTCATCCCAGTGCATAGCAAGTTAGGGCGCCACGGTGGCGAGATGTTAACTACCTCGCCTTGTATGCAGGAGGTCGTGGGTTCGTACCCCACCGTGCCCCCTGCTATCTATTTCGAGTTTGCGCGTCTCTCTCCCCGTGGGCGCGTGGATTTTTCTCCGGGTCCTTCGGTGTTTCCCTCCACATTTATAAACATGCGTTTCGAGTATTCCGTTGCTGTCGATTTCCACATGTTGATAAGCCACTACGTTGAGCGATCATTTGTGATAACCAGGTGGTCGCTTCTGAAGAAAATAGCTCTTTAGCTCAGTGGGGCCTGACCTGGTAAAATAAAAATTAGAATTTTAAGTTCAGTGGTGCAAGGGGGACAGCAGCCTCCTTGCGCTTGATCTCACCCAGCTGCTGCCCTCAACCGTACTCCAGTCCTGACCCTGGTCAACCACTAAATACTAAATACACGCAGGGAGAGCCAACCCTTATCTCAAGGGCCATAGTGGAACGCGTAAACTAGTCTGACGGATTTCACTTTGCCTGCAGCTTTGGCAGTTCCCAGTCGATTGCTCGCCTTCAGAACCGACTGGTCGTGCAGCTCCCCGATCCACTGCAAGTCGTTTCTGGCAAGTCGCCTGCCTTCCCCGCATCCTGAGCTTTCCATTATATATACAGCCTCTAGCATCCTTGGGCACGTGGGAGTGCAGCTCCACCGTAGGGCCATTACCACCTGGATGTCCAACCCAATTGCTCGGAAACAAGACGTCTGCTGCGCACGGGTCCAGACAACCGGCTGCTTCAATTGACAAGCATTGCAGAATTGACCAATAAGGAGTAAGCAAGCAAGCAAGCAATCACCTGCTGTGAAGATGTTGAACTTCTTTCGCACCGGACGTAAGCAAGCACTAATCGGAGTCATTACACCCCACCAAATCGCGAGCGAGGTGTTAATTCTGCCACTTAATCAACTTAAACACATGGAGCCAAAGCCCACCACAGCTTAAGTCGCATCAAAGCGACTGCCACGCATGGGAGAGTCCGCAACAATCGGGCGTCCCCGAGTTGCACAATGCTCCATTAATAGCAGGGCCAAGACATTGCCTACACGTTTGTCGTAGTCATTGCACCACGCCAGCTCAAAGGCGGATGTCTCGTACGTGAATGCCACCTATAAAAAAACTGCAGCCTGCCGAAGCATATACAAAAGACGAGATAAGTAGAGTGTTAAAAGGGTTGGAACAACCACACCCATGACTTTACCACCTCCTCACCAGCATTGACTGTACGACAACGGAAAGACAAACAAAGTTATCACATCGTAAGAAAAAAAAACTCTTAAGTCTTTTATTGGGGTTCAAACCCACATGTTGTTTCGGCACAACGTTCAACATTTCACCCCACGTCCTGGGAACTTCAGTTCGTGACATACCACCAGATGTGCAGGAAGAGAAATGCATTTCGATCTTCAGTTTGAGCCTTCCCACCAAACGCTATTTGGCCACATTTTCCTCGGCAAAGATAATTTACAACTAAGAAGTCAAAGCGTGGAAGCGATCTGCAAAAGCAGGGCAATAACACAATGCAGGAACACACGAATAGGATTTCACCAGGTATTTATTGAAATTTGCACCACCTAAAAAAGGCAATGCTGGCTGTAGTATATACAGGCAGCCACACCACACACGCACTGCGCGATACCAGCAAATTAATTCCACGTAGGGGACTTGTATCTTGCTTTGGCCAAACTGCATTAACATTCTGGCACACGACTGCAGTAGGGTGGTTTTTTTGTCGGCTTGGGGAGAGTTTAAAAATAAAAAAAGGTAGACCGTTACTTGGGTGGGATTGCTTCGCACAGGGAATATACAAAAAAAACTGAACAAAAAACACCGCGTCTGAGGTTTGGCAACATTCACTGGTTCCAGACTACACAATGGTGTCCCCCCGCCTCCACCCATCGAGCCACACAATACATGCCCGGGGCTCGGGAACAAAAAATTCTGGTTAATCCAAGCACATTTAATTGCATGGAAATGTAATGTGGTGTCATTTTAGCAACAAAAGACCGTTCAAAGTGCCAAACTGGGAGTTTCAAAATACTGCTTAAGTTACCCTGCAAAGACAAAAAAGGCGTTGACATCAACGCCCCGGTGAGAAATGAAAGGCTTGCAAAAAAAAGAGCGCTCAAATTTAACCTCTGCCAGCCTTCAAAACCTCTCCAACGCGAACCACAATGCGCGCGCACACACACATTTGTCTCAAAATGTGTGCGTCAACCCCAAAATAAGCCGTCACACAAATTCAAGATTGATGGAACGAAAAAAAAAAGATAAGTGTCGAACACGAAAATTAAAATGAAATAAAATTTGGGAACAACCCGTGGGTCTAAACCCATCCACAATCTTTCCAAGAGCAAACCCCCCCCCCTCCTTTGTCAAAAAGATAAACCCTACAGAAGTCAAACACAATAAAGCAAAAACGTTGCAATGTACAAAGCTGAAAATGCAAAACACACGTACCAATCAAACCGTGGCAAAGCTACTCACTCGGTGCCATAGTACATCATGAGCTAGGAGAGGGGACCCCAAAGCACTTCACCGTTTGACACCAAATACAGAAAACGTCCACATTTTACACAAACAAGGAGAGTTCGTATTCCTCCAGAACTTTTTCAACCTCAACAGTGCCAGATAACAATATTTAAAAACGCACGAGAACTAGCATTTCCATTTCCAGACAAAGCAGAACAAGTCTTTGCTTTGTTCATCTTTCTAACATCCAATTCATTTTTTTTCCCGAGGGGGCCTTTCCTTACAACCTCAATCACATACTTCCCCCTCCCTATCCAATTCATTTTTGTTATACTGATCTTGTGACTCATTTGAAACAAAACACTGATTATGCAGGGAATAGGTAAGGCCGGCAGGGGTAGTGGGGGGGGGCTATAGAGAAATAAATCTATTACAAGTGGGTAAGCCGCTCATTTTTAGTTTTCAAACCGAGAAATAAAAAACCCCACAGGCTTAGGAGAGACGTTTGAACAAGAACACAAACCCAAGCCTGTGCCGCAGTTGCGGAGTGAGACTTGATGCCAATCTAACACGGGTCAAGTTACCCTCCTTCCCCCCCACCTGCAAATATATTTGCCATGCGATATTGGCGACTTTATTTTCCTCTTCTTAATATTTGTAACACTTGGTCGGTTTTGCCAGTCTAAAAAGGCAAAACGCACGATGGTTGCCGTCAAGACACGCAATAAGTTGTTAAAAATGCAAACTATGTCAAGGCCAAGGGCTTCCTCTGCGAAGACGCGATCACGTGGAACATTAAAGCCCGACACGGCTACAAAGATGTACAAATTTGCACAGCAAAAGACACTTATCTGCGCACACAACGACGCTGGGCACGTGCACAGGCAGGGCGGATCACTCCGGTAATTTACAAGCCAACTTGACACAACACTGCGCACGGTTTTACACTGGTCCACGTTTGACAGGCAGAGGGGGCACAGGCGTTGTGCTTTTGAAGCGCAGTTTCACGCTTCCTTTATGTAAAGCGGCACTAGTATGGATCCCTTAGTGTTTAACTGCAATGCCTGCGTCTTTTTTGTCATCTCTTTGTTCCAAACAAAAGGACATGTTCCTTTAAAATGTACGCGCGTCACTTTTAAAAATCGACCACACCCGCACAACCTTTGCTTTAGCGGCTAGCTGAGGACGATTATTTTTTTAGCGATTTGATTTCATGGTTAAATTGAGGGCGTTGGGTGACGAGACGCAGACCGGCGGCGGTTGAGTGGCACCGTGCCGCTCCTCCGCCTAGACGAAGGGCAGGATTCCATACACGAAGAGCGCCATGACCCCGGCGCTGAACAGCCCCGAGATGGGAACTGTGACAAACCAAGCCATGAAGATGTTGCGGAAAAGGCGCCAGTCGACAGCCTTGCGTGAGCGCAGCCAACCGACAGACACCACAGAGCCAACCTGTGGCACCCAAAGGAGGGGGGGGGGGGAACAAACGCCGCCGCACACGGGGCTGTTAACGCAAGGGAGGTGCTGGCATTACGAAACGTGGGCCGAAAAAAAACGGCATCATAAAGCGATAGCAATTTGAAAATAAACGTTACACATTTGAGCAGAGTTCAACATCTAAACTGCACTAAAAAACGGCACCATAACGAGCTGAACCCACGTCTTCTAAATAAATTGTGCTCCGCGAATGTGACGGCAGTTATCTTCTGCAAATCCCTACAATATTCAACCGGCAACGATACATCAGGGTAGGATTTACACGAGTCGCGCGGCCTTTAAAAACCGACGCATTCGGTCCGCCGAGACGATCGTGTGCATGAACATGACCGCAGTGAAATTTAAAGCAGGTGTGTAGCTCCATGCACTGGCACAAGCGAGGCTGCTTGGCAATGGAGTGCAAGGACCATTCATGTGCCCCAAGACAATGACCAGAGAGAGGAAACAGCGTCAAGCTCTCCTGGAGGTAAGGTTGGGGGAAAGACGAAGACTTACACCTGCTCAAGACTCAATCCCTCCACTTAAACAGTAATGGAGAACCAACTCCTAATGACCACCCCCTGTTAACGGTTAATCGCTTAACAGGCCTCCATAACTCCCAATCTGTTTGCTTGCCGACCATTCCCCTGTTAATGACGGGCTGTTGTAGGTACAGTAAATATAAATTAATGCATTTATTAACCACGTTTCTTTTAATTTGTTGTGTGTATAATGCAATAAATAACTTCGTATTAATATCCATCGTTTAAATATCATAAAGAAATTTTTTGGGTGAAAAAGGGTAACTTTCGATGCTATCGGAATGAATTAAGCCTTTAAACATGTATTTCCTATACCCGCTTGACGACCAAAATCACTTAACGACCGCTTTCATGGAACCAATTACTGTCGTTAGGAGGGGGTTCTCTACTGTACCCCTTGTCGTGGTTGCCAACTGCATGAACGCTCGACTCGACAAGCACAAAGCAAACTTCGGTTTGTGCAATCAAAGTTACGGGTGGCCCCCAGTAGGGTTTTTTTTTTTTATTCTGCGTCGTTACCTTGCAGTGCGTCGTGCTGATGGGCAGACCGATGTTCGAAGCGATCACCACCGTCATCGCAGAAGCCAGCTCTATACTGAAACCACTGGAACGAGAAAAGAGCGCACACCGCCGCAGCATAAAATTAGACTTGGTTGTGAGATTATCAGCTTCGTCAATAAAAGCACAATCCAAGCACAACCTTACTGGCAGTGTACAACTTTTATCTCCAGAAAACTATTGGAGGTTAAAAGTGGAACTAAATGTATTGCTTAAGCCAACAAAGTACATTTCTGTTTACGGTTTTAAATAATCACAAGTTTAGTTGTCACATTCACAGATTAACTGAAAATGCAAAAGTACTCCATTCCACACGAAACAAGCCTCATTACCAAGCCCAATTTGCTCATGAACACGTTAGAGAAATTTCCTGTGCTGAAAAAGTGATAGAACCTTCCAGCACAAAAGCAAACAGTCATGAACTCTGCCACAGTTACCCCTCTGGCGAGGGAAGGGCACAGGATAATTTACGTAAATGACACCACTGGCATGCGAGTCAAAGGTCATCCATGTGTGTTTGGTACAAAAATCGATCGTTGAACAAGACCACCGTGGCCATTTTTGAAGGGTATATACAGAACCCTCGACAACACCGTAGCACAACTGGGGCCAGCTGCCCCCCTTGACCGAGCAAAAGTTTTGTCTATTTTACAAAAAAACACTTCCAGCACAAGGTTTCAAATTAACTTCATAACACCCATGTTGTGCTCCAACAATAAGTGACCACCAAAAAGTGTAACTACAGTGCTTCTGAATCAATAAGGATGTAGGGTTAAAGGTGAACTGCCAACCATGGGCCAAAAACAGTTTGTCAAAGGAACCTGGTTAGATTTTTTTTCCCCTCTTGTTAATGCCGCTGCTCGTTATCCGTCGCGAGGTCGGGGCGACCGGTCGGGCAGCCCTGGCGTAAAGACAGCCAGAGGGGTCGTGATCACCTCGAGGGAGTGATGGGCGTCAGGTCCTTGCCCATCGTCTGGATGACTCTGCGGCCCCACACCCACAGACCGAGGCAGATGCCCACGCCGCCAAAGAGCAGCAGCCACGCGGGTGTTGCCGCTTCCTGGTTCACGCTGCCAGTTGAGTAGATGATCCACAGGGCGACCAGGGGACCGATGGCATTGCTGGGGTTGTGAGTATAAAAGAAAAAAACCCGGTGGTAAATGCTTGTCCATCTACGCATGATGTAAACCGATTAACAGCATTTGTGCCGCAATAAGTAATATTTTAAATATATATTTTTAAACACGCTTTAATGAAATGTACCGTACTCCTAATGGCAGAACTCCACGACTGCAGGAAGTGGCCGCAAAGCTTGCCATAACGCAAGGGGCCGTGGTGATTTACAGCCAACGTCAGTTGAGAGTGGACAATTAGACCCAAGCCGAAACATAACATTCCAAAATGAATGTTTAAAATAATTATTGTAATATTTTTGATAGACTATAGTATTATTCTTTGGTTTTTTCGGTAAAGTCACGTAGTAGGGAAATAATAAAATAATAAAAATAAAACATAATAAAACAATTCTCACGACGTTTCGGCCACAACGCAAGCAGCCGTCCTCAGGTGAAGACCAGATCTGTCGGGGAGACAGCGTCTGAATGGTCTTCACCTGAGGACGGCTGCTTTCGTTGTGGCCGAAACGTCGTGAGAATTATTTGATTATGTTTTATTTTTTATTATTTTATTACTTCCCTTCTACGTGACATTACCGAAAGAACTAAGAAGATGAATCCCTGCAGTCACGAAAGCTTTAAATCGAAATTTAAGGTGGGGTGCGTTTAGAATCGGCGGCTCGCGGTATTCGCGCTGATAATTGATGAAGATGGAAATGGACGCGAGATTAAACACCCATTTGTACTGCTGGATGGTGACAAGCAGCAAGAGTTGTTAAGAATCCTGCCCCACCCCATTGTTTCAACTGCCAGGCCGGGAGATCAAAATCCATCCGATGTGCTAACAATTACATCGCAGCTGCACACCCCTGCGAGTGATAAAACCTCAAAATGACGAAGCACTGTACTCTGGTGCACTTGACCACACGACTGAAAACGAATTACATTTTGCCTGAATACAGTAGAGCGTGAATGATCCATTTTAGTTTACCGCAAGAGCCACTCAAGGCATAATCTCATCCCATTAAATCGAATCCGTAGCAATAAAAGTGGCACTTACTTCAAAGACAAATTTGGTGCTCGATATATTACCAGCAACAGTATGGCATTGAATATTTTCCAACTTTCAAATGGAAATTACATTAAGCATTTTAACAGCAACGTTTACTCCGCGAGATGGGCATGGTAATCCGACGGGGGTCCAAAGAACAGCAAGAAGAGTGAGTCAGTCGAGGGCTTGAGAAATGATAAATTAAAAAAATCTGCAGCGTGAGCAGCAGACCGAGCAAGAGGCAAAGTACTGGTGCCACCGCCTCACTGCAACCCCCCCCCCCCCCTTTACCTGACGTCGTTGCCTCCGTGCGCAAATGAGCCGAAGCAGGCGGTGAGGATCTGCAGGAAGTGGAACAGCATGTACACCTCGGGCCGGTCCTTGTCCTCCCCGTCCAGCGATCCCTCTGTTGCCGTCGAGGATGTAGAGCCGCTGCCCGTTTTGGTTGCCACGGCGACTACCCCATTGCTGGGGACGACCGCAGTGCCGTTGCCGATTGCGCCCTCTGCAAGGTGGGGGAGCGAGCAGAGGAGTCCATATTGAAGTGCTACTTGCAAATAAGATTTCCACGTTTGAGCACCTTGGGGACTTAACTCCCCTCCCACCCCGTTCTACAAGAACGGTATGGGGGTCGCGCCTACAGACTTCCTGCATACATGGAATCTCATCAGATCTTAAAAGTTAACAGGATGAGGATAGAGCCTATTAAGAGCTTTGTGAATTCCACAATCAAGAGCATCAGTTAACCTAATTAAGATGGGCTGGCAAACCAGATGCTTAAACATCGGGGAATGGAAAGCAAGATTGATCATTGTACTCGCAGTAATTAAATGGCAAAATATTTCATTTAAAAAAACCTCAAGTGACAAAGCGATGATATAAACAGTAGAATTTCTTTAAAAAATTCAATGGTGCATGACACTTGAAATGCAAACAAAATCAAGTTGCTTGTTGGAAGGGAAACTAAAAAGAAAAGCCTGTTATGCAAACCACTGGGACAAAAGGGACATGGCTTGCAATAAATAATTAGGCCGAAATGCATCTGTTCACTTTGTAAAATAAGCTTGGCCGCCAACTTACACACGAAACCAAACACAAAAAACACCGGGGACCCTGAACCAGAAAGATAAACATAAAAGAGCAGCACGGTGCGCAGGGATTAAGCACACACACGTCACGATCGCACCAAGATGAAACGACGAATTTGTAAACGCGACCACACGCCACCTCCCGCTCTCGACCAACCGCCCCCCCCCCCCAACCCTCGATGGCCCCATTTAACGTGACGACCCGCCAGCGTATCACCGACCTTTCTCCGGGATGGGCTGGATGACGCCGTCGTCGGCCAAAGCGTTGCAGTAGCTGGAGTAGCTGTCATAGCGTACGCGTGCCTTGCGGCCGGACGGCGCCCCGTCCTCACCCAGGTGACCCCGCGACGACCCCACCTCCGCGTGCTTAGAGCCGTCCAGTGGCAGCCCGTAGATGGCGGCCGTGTACGACGTGTAGCTGTTGTTGCGCCGGATGGGTCTGCCGGGGAGGAGGAATTTTTAGGACTGGCGCTCTCGTTGCAGCTGGATGCACACGCGCGCTAAAGAACGAGGGGTGGGGGGGGGGCAGTGAAAACCCCCAAACGAACCCCAACGCATCACCAGAGTCTACAGATCTCTGTGGCTACATCAATAATCCCCATTTGGCATGAAAGAGTATAATTTGGTTCATGCACAAGTATCTACCAAAAAGATTTTAAAACAATACAATAAAGTTACCTCCCAGAGTTGAGTTATAATTTTACCGATTTTATATGCAGAGTTTAGGCAAATTGTTTGCACTCAACCATCTATTTTTTCACGTTACCCATCGCAAATCCAGGAGTTGTACAATTTATCTTAACACTGCACAGTGTCACAAAAATCCATAACACCGAAACTATAGCAACCATATAGACGGACCGAAAATAAAACACGATGCATAAGGTATTGATCACTGCACGATTTCTTGCGACCCAAACACCGACATTTTTACCACCAAATCCAGGCTCCAAATTTTCTCATTTATAACAACTTTTATAAATCAAAGACACTCCCACTCCATGTGGTTAGAATAACCGTGGACATCTTTAATCTTATTTAAAATGTAAGACATGCATCCAGGGAAGAATTACTACAGGATTGTTTGAGAGTTAAAGGCTCGCAAAAAAAATGCATTTTAATCTCTAAATTGGGGTTTACGCCATGGAATTAAATGTCAATTTTTAAAAATATTCAACCCATGGAAAGACAAGAAACGGGCCAATGCAGGCAAGACACCCAACCACGCACAAGTGGAAAGTGTACTGAATTAGTCTGCTTCACGTGGATTATCTGGGCGAGTAGCAAAACCATTTAAAAAAAAAACACTTTTGATTCAAGACTGAACACTGCAACTAATTGTAAATCCAAGAATTACATGGGGGCATTGATTAGAAAATTAGCAGCTAAAAATCGCTTTCAGAGTACTCAAAGCAATAACCCCATATTTTTGCCAACTTCCAGCTTAAAATTTAACGTTTCTCTGAAATGCCAAAAATCCAGTAACAAGCAGCACTCTTGGAAGACATAATATGAAAGAGTTACTTATAGGATGGACCACGAGTGTAAGAAAACAAATATTGATCAAACTTATGCCTATATTACACCATGAAGCTAATGTAAAGACGGAACAAGGCAGGACACAAGATACTGTAAAGAAAGAGGCGACAATAGTGATGCATTAATAGAATCGTAATCAGAGCAGATGAATTGTTACACAGACCGAGAATCCTCCAAAGAGATGTCTGTAGGAGGACAGATTGCCGAAGGAGGCAGTGATGAAGGCAGACCAAGTGCGTGTGGGCAAGAAGACAGAATATTTATTTATACGGGAGGAATCTGATGAGCTATGAAGCTCTTTGACAAATACCCCAGTAGGGGCGGGTAAGAACATTACAAACTATACATAAACACAGGAGTGCAAAGAATAGGAAAGTTGCACAAATCACTGACTTGTACACCGGTTGCTCGGGAGGACCAGACTCCAGAACACGGTCCAAGTGCATCTTGTGCAATAAGTCTTTGTAGAGGCCAGAGTCCTTGTGCACCGTGTGGTAGTGTCCGTCTGCTAAGCTTGCCACTCCGTTTGCCATCAGCTCCGAGTGACTCGGCTTGCCTGCAAGTGCCAGGGGGGACACACACACGCGCACACAGGATTAATTTCAACAACGGTTAAAACCATTTATTAAAATGGACGATGGGTATATTGGGATGATTGGACAGGCTGTTGATATGAAGAGTAATGGCTTCTGAAAGAGGTTGGCTACTTGTTTGGCAATGGGACACAGGTACATTCCCTTTATGGAGAACTTGCTAAAACAGGCAATTTGTCCCAGAATGGAAGCACTCCACAGAAATTGTACACAGCCCTTTTATCAATCCCCTGCCAAATGAGACAATGTGGGTCGAAGTAGGTTTATTACTTGACCACACGGATCCGTGCAGGTTGGTGAAGACTGGGAAACAAGTACTGCACAGCTAGCATTTTTGGAACACTGCCACTTTGGGGCCCACCAGAGCCCCCGTAGCCTGCAATACCCTGTTATGCATATTCGGTCGCTCAGCCAGGCATGATCCACACTAAAGAACCGACAAGACTGAGTAAATGCAAGGTGATATTGTTATCAGCTTATATGCGATCATTATAATCAGCATATTATGTTCAGTGCTCAGAAGGCACCACTTTAATTCACTACCCCTGCCCCACGCAACAATGACAAAGATCCCCTGTATAGCCTGACCAGAATGTTGGGGCAAGTCTTGTTAGCAAGCACCTATGAAGGCCAACCAAGGCACACGAGGGGATGGGGTAGACAGCACCACGCCCACACATTTATAAAGGTATCCGAGTAATCAAGTTTAGGAACAAGTCGCACGAGTTTCAATGAGACAAAACTTCAGGGCGGAGGGCGGCTTTACCACTTGGCGTCTCAAATAACGGGGGAGCGAGCCTACGTGCTTGTGCCGACACCCACCGTTGGCGCAGCTGTTGCTCATGCTCCGATCGCGGTGGGCAAATCCGTTGCGCGGCTTATTCCCAGACAGCTCGTCTTCCGCAAACCCCAGCGTCTTGCCCGCGATCCCGTTCGCCTCCACCGGCGCCACGTCCACGTGCGGCTCGCCATCCTCAGAGTCGTCGTCGCCCAAGCGGAAGGCCGTCTTGGCACCGGGTTCGCCCGCAGGCTTCGGCTTCACCTCCACGGAGACGTTATTACCGTTGGAAAACAAGCCCAGCTCCACGCCCTCGTCCGCACCCGGCGCCGGCCCACAGCTCGTCTTCAAGTGCTCTGCGAACGTAAAGGTTTCGGGAATTAAAAAAAAAGGTTCTTTTGAAATTATAAAAAAAATGTAGTTACACAATTCAATTAAAATCTCAAGATGTAATTCAGTTAAAACTCAAAAGCAGTGCCATGTTGAGGAGTTCTTCCATGGGGAACTGCTTTGATGCGTAAAATGCTTGAGCACCTCAAGCAACTATGATGGGGAGGGGGGGCACCGATAAACAAATTCGGGTCTTCAGCGAAAAGGCATGACAAAATGAGCTCTTTCTAATCTGCACAAAACAGCGTTGTGAAATATAGTAAAAAGCCCCCACCCCATTGATCATGGAATTACCAGAGATGGCGGTTTGGAGAGGCCTTCATCGAACAGTGGACTGATCATGGCTAATGATAACAATGATGGACTCAAAAGCAATATGCCACGCAAGTGCACGCGATGCATTAACTTTCCAAAATTTGTACTGGACATTTCTCCATACAGCTAGCTCTTGGCATGCTGGCAAATGAACAGGATTATGCAAGACTCTTATACAACCAACTCTTTTATTCAAAACCAACAAGTCCCAATGCACTAGGGAACAAAGACCTACACATATCACTTAGCTGGCAAGCAAAGTAGGTCAAAATAGAATAGGGGTGGGAAAAAATTATTATACATTTTTTTCCAAATCAAAATAATAACTGGACTACTGAAAAGCACATGACAGGTATGTCAATTTTCTAACCGACAGTTGTATAAATAGAAAGGAATCTGCAAAAGTGAAGACTTTTCAGAGCAGTCCTTCCACCATCCATCCACTGCTGGTCACAAGTCAAGGGCATGACAGGGGTCCTAAAATAACTCATACGGGAGGGGGAATGGGTTCGCCGACAGAAAAGGCCTCAGTGTCGATGTATTAGGCAACTAAAAGAAAGGCGATTAAGATTACTTCGCAAACTGGGCCACATCACTGCAGCCTTATCCTCGCTTAATGAACGACTGGCAAGCATTACGTAACACAGCAATCGCGGGATTCACATATTTAGGGTGTAATTATTTTTTGTTACTTCGAAAAGGCACCGTGCATTTAAAATATTTTTTACGAGTACACGTCAAACAGATCGAGTAATGCTCATCATCACCACTTGAAAGATCTGAACCAGCGGACTATGGTCAAATCACTCCGAATGCGCCAGATCTCGGAAGGTAAAGCAGCATTACGCCTGGTTAGTACTTGGGACTTGCGACTGCCTAAGAAAAGATCAGCTGTTGTAAAAGGCTTGGGTTGCGAGGTTGGCCAACAGATGGCAGGTCGGCAATAGATTCTTGAATCTGTATATGTGGAACTTTGAGTGTTACCCCCTTGCATACCGTGGGTTTCGTTTGGATTTGCTACCACATACCTAACAGATTACTGGTATTTAGACAAACACCCAAAGGCAGGACTGATGACAGTCTTGCAACTTGGCGAAACTTTTCTGGGTAAATCAAGTGTATCATTAAGATTAAATAATTCAGTTCCGTGTACCTCTTCAGCAGATGCTCATTTGACACTCCTTGGGGGGTAGGGGGGGGTGATCTCTCATATGGCGTGTGAAACAGCAATGGATTTCTATACTGTGGTTCAAATGACATTGTAATGGGCTTCAGGACATCCAAGAACCCGTTTCAGATGTGCCTTTGCAGGTAAGTTCAGAGGGCAATGGGCGCAAACTCATGGTCAACAGTATGGACGCCAGTATAGACGCGATGGTAACAACGAACCAACTACGAAGATGCCGCGTCTGTGGCGCTTAAAAACAGGAGCGAGCACACGCGCAGGACTTACTCTCGATCTTCCGCCGCATGCGGGGGCAGACAATGAACCAGACGACGAGGCCACAGGCAACGGCGAAGGTCAGCGAGACCAGAACCAGCGCCCAGATAGGCAGCTCGAAGCCCAGAACTACAGCGGCAACAAGGAGGGGCACACGCGGACCTCAGTGGCCTGCAGGCGCTCTCACAAGCACTCCCTAAGCCAAGGGGAACTAGCCCGCGCGGTGAGCTACGCTGCAGCATCATTGTTTTTCCTGTGCACAATGTGAAACAAAACAAAAATGGTATCGATAAAAATAAACTCGCTTCGTAGTAAATTGTAGAGGCTAAAAAAATTTATCGCAAAATTTTTTAAAGGGAGGCAGGTTGGGTTTAAAAAAAATCTATTTGAAATACAACAGCACCATCCTAATCAAATGTAGCCATATACATGAAAAGAACACGTACAAAGTAAGCAGTATATTTTAGGTAACAGTAAAAATCTGAGGGCTACCTACACTAGCTTATGCCAGGTGAGGTAACCTACCGACACGCACATTCATCAATAATAATTTACAAATGAATTTATCTACAAACACTGCACTAGTCCAGAAAGCATTCACAACAACTTGGAAAAGAAACAGCTATGTGCTATGTATGACTCGTACACTGTAGAACTTAAAAAAAGTTTCAAATGTGCAATTCTCTTCCAGGAATTGAAAGAAGAAACCGTTTCATTGCTTGAAGGTTATTCATCAACAGCATAAAACCCACTTAATCGAGGCTTAATTTGAAACAAAGCGTACTGTGTATAGAGGTATTCCACCAAGGTGCCACACACAACAACATTAAGCTGCATGTAATTAAGACATTTAAACATTTCAACTTTGGGGGGAATAATTAAAAAAACCGGTACTCACGAGGCAGGCCAGTCAGCAGGATGGAAAAGCAGTTGACCCACATGACAACTCCGTAAAACAAGGGCAAAGCACGCAAACCGTTGGGAACCGGGTCATCCTGGGCAAGGACAGAAAAACCTGAATTAAAAATCTCACTCAACAAATGCAAGTTTGCAAATCTCACGCTAGTAAACTGTGCCACACCTATCCCCCCCCCTCGGTTTCTCTTCACTCACCTTGTTGAGAATGAAGAACCGCACCATAAAGAAGAAGATGGCCGACATGATGCCAGAAAGCAGAGGGGATACAAACCACGAGGCCACTGGAACAAGACAAAGCAACACTCATTAAATAAACTCCGATTCAAAGGGCCGCTTTCACACACCGGAACTGGCACCAAACACGCTCACGCAACGTGCTGGATCCTGGCAAATAGTTTCCACGGGTGACGTACAACGTGACCAACAATGGCAGCCTATTATTAGAATCGTACTTGGCGTTAGTGTACCAGCGAGTGCAGCCGACAAAAGCGTAGTTTAAGGGGCCCAAACAGAATTAAAAGGCAACGTACCGATGCTGATAAGTTTCGTCCACTGCACGCTCCCCGCACCCATGGACACCATCGTGAATCCTATGGTGGCACCCACAATGCAGTGCGTGCCAGAGATGGGAAGCTTCAGAAAGGATGCGATCAGCTGCCAGGCGGCCGAACCTACCGGGAAAACCAAAAGCGCATTCGTCAACAAATGGGGCAGAGCGCCACGTCCTTTGTAATTCACAACTCAAAGAATAACGTCAATATATTATACATAACGTAAATGCACAACCACAGCACACAAGCAAAATGCAATGCCAATTAATGAAGCATAACAACGATAAACAGAGGGGGAAAAAGTAAGCAAAAGTCAGATACATTTGTAGATCAAAACGACATGCATGTACAGCCCTTTGTCAAGCCACTGCTTGACGAGTGTCCCACCCCACACCGCAAGGATCTCTAGTTATTTGGCCATACATCACTACAATGGGACAGTGAAGTATGGCAAAGGCAGAGGGCATAGAATTACAGTACAAATCTATTTTGCTGCACGCTCCCTCTGCCACCCCAAAACGTCCGACATGAAATGCGCGCCATCTCGGCACACCTTGTAAGCCACAGAGGCTCGGGCCTGGATTATTGTGCTCGGACAGGTGACCACGGCAACATCCAAACTCAAATCAACATAAAAAAAAACCTGTGCTTGTCCACTCACCAACCATGGCGCTGACCTGGCCCGCCATCAGCGTGGACTCGGAACCGTTGTAAAGGTTCACGTCGACGATGCCGTTGCGGATGGTCTGCCCCACCTTGGCGCCGAGTAGCACCGAGCCCACCGTCTCGAACACGGACGCCAGGATGCACGCCTGACGCAGCGTGAGCACGCCCGAGCCCACAGCCGTGCCGAACGAGTTCGCCACGTCGTTGGCCCCCACCGAGAAGGCGAGGACGAAGGCGATGATGAAGCCCACAATAAGCATCCATTTGTACTCCTCGAGGCTCGTGCTCACCTCCGCAACAATCGAGACTGCCGCCGTGACTGCTGTGGTAAAAGTCTCCATCGTGCCAATTTATTTTTTTTGTCGTGACTTGGGGAGTATGATAAAATTAGCCCCCGTGTAATTTGATGTTTACAATACCCTGGACTGAACACTTTCTTTCCCCCCTTTTAACCCCTCTGAGTGACCCCCCCCCCCACCCAGAAATGAAGTGCGACTGAATCTCAACGCAGCGTTTTAAAACAAACCCTTTGTCTAATAATAAATGCGGCTCACTGCTTCAAATTACTTTGGCTTCGGGAAGGAAAAATTATTTACGCGACCAATTAGTGCTGATTATAGGTTACGCGTTTGCAAATTATGCCAAGTTGCAATTTATATATTAAATTAAATAACATTAAACGTATGACCTCTAAACCCCTTAACGTTACTCCAAACTTTGGCCACTGAATAATAGCCTAAGCTGTTAACAAAACTAAAAGTACAAAAATATTTTATTTCTTTTTTTTTACAATTAAAATGCTTGTGCTATGCGTTTTTATATAAATATTATAATGCAAATTAATTTATGCCAAACAAATGATATGGCTTGTAAACTTAAGACTGATATTTATGCTGAGATGGTATAACCTGGGAACTAGGAACCAGGTGAAACAATTGCTATCTTCTGGATATCAGCTCACACAAGGAAAAGTGCATGTTGGTGATCACGAGCATCGCAAGCTCCATTGTTGCAGCGTGGGCGAGATGGCAGCTGCAAGGATCATGCTGGGGAATGACACGGACAGAGAGAAGGGGAGAGGCAAGCATCACGTACGGTTAAAACAATCGAACCGTTGCAACACACCACAAGAATTACAGAACTTGTTGATCTATGATGACAAATGTATTTGCTTTTTTGCGTGTATCCTCTTAGGAGACAGAACAGAAATAGATCCGTCTAAACTTGCTTTTATGCACTTAGGCTGTGCGCATCAGGCTATGCGATGCAAGCTTGAAGCTCCTACTAATGAGAAACAATTTCCAAGCAATGGTCTAGCACGCTATCGTAGAAATAAAGTCCCTTCACTTCATCAATATTTAAAATGATCAAGAGGGATGCAACATCGCTCGTGCCATTTAATGATGCGTGCATGATTGCGATGTCTGATCATTATCTAGTCTTCAATCATGCCAAACAGCCCAAGACACCCAGACGAGGGTGTATATCTCCAAGATCAGCGCACACGACTTGTTTATACGAGTGCCAGTTTCCTTGAGTGGCAGTTATTTGTGTTTCAGCCAACACGACCTTTCTCGAGCCTTCTGTGTCAAGCAAATGCCTCTGTCCGCTTAGAAAAACAGGTCACATATCCACTGTATCGGCCATTCGGGTCGTTAAGAGAAAGCGAGGGTGGGCTCACGAAAGCCACGAACTTCCGACAATCGCTTATTTTTATCAAGGACACCACTCCCTTTAACCCCAACCAGCTAGCACTTTCTCCACTGTAACGCGTGTCACACTATCCCCCAGTTCATCCATTTCCCTCCTCCCCCCCCACACGGCCTCCAGGAAGCTCAGCCAAGCAGCTGTGCAGTCGTCTGCCGGCCGCACAGGTCCCGGCGTGATTGGGACAGACCCCTGGGGGGAGGCAGGGTGGTGGGAGAAAAAAAACTCGACAAGATCGGGCAGCTCAAAGCAAAGCAGCTGGCATTTCTCGTCGGCAGAAGAACTGACCAAATGGGGTTGTCCCACTTTCTGCTCAGCAATTTAAGGATACATGGACGTTGTTTTATCCTTCTCCAAAACCGCATCTGGTGCCCGCTTATTTCAACTGCTTGAAGGGGAGCGACGCGTTTAAAGCCAAGCAAGGCAATACAAAATTATTGAATTTTGCTGTAAATAACTGAAGTGGTTGTGGGGGTCGCCGTGAACCGAGTTCACCCCTGCGGGCCATGTCTGTGGGGTTACAATTCACAGAGGCTTGCGACATTTGGAGATCAGAACTCCTCCCACCAACCCCTCCCACCACCACCACCACATCCCCACCACCCCCCCTCCCACCAACCACCCCCACCACCACCCACGCCGGTCTAAACCAGATGACAGAATGTCAAAAAAACCTTTCGGAGCACAGGCGTGCTAACACGTGCACAATTCTCTTGACAAATGGCCTTAAAAAAGGAGTGAACATTCGTTGTAGATGTACACAAAGTACATATTTAACCCACGCCCCATTTGTTTGGTCAATCCACCGATGGATGAAAGAGGCCTCATTGGGGATTCTTTGCACCTACTTTCACAGCACACGAGGTTGACAGTGAGAGGGTGGGGAGAGGGGGGGGGCACACATCCGGTTCAGACATGACTCGCCACTTCATTGGTAGGCAGTGAATTTTATTCAGACGCCAGGTTTATAGCGCAGGGCCGCCGCTATAACCACTCCACCGCCGTCCCCAACCCAAATAAAAAAACATCGCGTGCACATGGCCGCAACACAAATGGACAGATCAATAATGGCCGCGATGTAACCACGCAGCACAGCGCGCAGACTGCAATGCAGTAAGCAGTCCTATACATAGGGCGAGTGGTTGGTTTACCGCACGTCCGCACTGTGCCCTAACACGTGCCTGCAATGCACCAAGGAACACCCCACCCCCTTTTGCCCCGAGGCCGGCATTGTCGCCTCCAGGGGACCTCCGTATTTTAATTTTTTTTAAAAATTGTATAACAAGCACACCTCTACACAGCGCAGCGCTTTAAAGACAACCGCTGCGTGTGCACCCCTTACGCCAAATTTGATCAATTCCCACGGTCAAGAAGCATTATCTGGGCGAGCTTGGCGGCTACCAATCTGGCACTGACGACGTGGCCGAGAGAGGGCGTCAGGCGAGAGAGATGGAGGCGATGAAATTAAGCCGCGTGAGCACGTGCTGGGTGGGGGATGCGGCGGCGGATCGGTGGTATTCCTCTTGGGGGAGGGCCAATTCGTCAAGCAGCGGAGCAAGCAGGCCGATAATCTCGAGGTCACGTTTTAAATTTTTTTTTTATTCCGACGCTGTATTGTAACAATGTCTTCCAATAACCAATAGCCGCCATTCGTCAAGAAGTGACGGGGACGTCTGTGCCAGGCCAGGTGCACTTTGAGGCCACGTTAAGTGTCGAAGGTTCGCCGACAGGTCATCTCGGGACAGACACCGTCTTAAAGGGGCCCTACACACACACACTAACCAAATAACCCGCAAGGAGTTGGGGGTTGGATGGGGCTCATCTAGCAGTAGCTTGACAAATGACTGTAGATGTACTGTATCGTCTAAGGGATATAATTAAATGAACGTGACCATCTGTATCAAGAGTAGGCTTGTATTCACATAATAACCACAGAGTCGCTAGGAGACTCGCGAAACACAATGAGGGCTTGTACTAGCGTTATCGGTGCACTGTAACATGCAAATATTGCACCAAAAGTGGGTAAAGCGGATATTTTAAGACTTGGAACTACACTTCGGAAACGGGAAAGGGAACACGTGGATTAAAAAAACGTAGTTACTCACATTACCATCATGGAAATTCCAAGTTCCTATGATATCGTCAATAAAACCCATAGCCGACTAGCCTACAGTACCCAACACCAACTACGGTACCGAAATGTTCTCCAACAGATGAATGATGGGGATGACCATGTAATTTGAGTTTAAAAAAAAATGTAACTGGGTGTGTATACTCCGTAATTCTGAGTATAATATATTTTTACCATCCCTCCACCGCAAGCCAAACAAAATCCTGACCTACATACTTCACACTGGGCGTTTGAGGACAGCGGTAATTAGGGCCGGTAATTAAGGTGATTAAAGGCTATTAAAGCAACGATGGACACGCGTTAGCACTACACACTATAAAATAAAAACGTCATGTGCGTTTTTTCGACTTGCGTTCAAGTGCGGATATAACAATTCGTCACTTTTATGTCTGAAGCCATGGGCGAGGTGCAAAGGAGTCTAACTCGGGTCGCCGGATTCCATGTGGCCGTGCCTTAGGGGAAACTGCGTCAATTAAGGGTTCTAACGCGAAACAGAAAGTCTTAGTGGCTCTCTGCTTGGGAGCCACATGGTTAAACGCCACTTGCGTAACGCCACGTGTTCTTTGGTGCCATGTGCATCAGGGCCCAGCACCGGCTTTCGACGATTAAAACGAGCCACACGTCCTCGTACGTTGCCAAATCGATCGACACGAGGTAACGTGCACACACCACGTGTCGCAGATTTCGGAAACCATTCTTAAACCGCATTGCAGAGTCGAAATTTCGCAAATTTCGCCCTTGAGAACACGTGGGGATTGAAACCAAGATTCTCCACACCCCAATGTCTCGTTTCCCCCGTCCACCAATATCCCACATTACTCTATCCACGTGTCCCCCCCTTTCCTTCACTATAACCTCGTGGTCACTCACCACCCCCTCCAACACCACCCGTTCCAAATGTCCTCGATGATTAAAGCCGATAAAAGCCCTCTGACCCCAATGAGCTTGCTCATGCTGATGAGACGGCGATAAGGCCACGATATTTCAGACAATTGCAATCGCACGCACGCACATTACATATATTGCTTAGATGTATATATATATATATACACACACATACAAAATAAAAACCCATAACTCGTTATTTTCTATCAATTGTGCGTTTTTTTTTAAAGATTGGGACCTGCGAACGCAATTATCGAACCACCGCGCGCGATCTTGCGCCGTCAACGTAAAGGACCCCTCAATAAATCATTAAAGCTTCATCGCCATCACTAACAATGCGATAACTACACAGTATTGCCGCGTTAACGTTGATACTTTTTCACTATAATTGTGTCCCGGGGGCTCTTACGGCGGTCCGCATGGAAGGTTCGGTTGAGGTGGGAACGAGTCACGAATTAAATGAATGAATCACTTTGCGCTTCGGAAGACAACAATTAATAAAAACACCACATCGACGTAAGCCTTTAACAGTTTGTAATAGAAACCACAAAATCCGCGCGTTTTTTTGTCAATACGTGAATTAATGTAACGTGTCAATGTGTCAGTGAGGCCGGTACGTTAAACTACGCTCGCCAACTATAAACACGCGGCGTTTTTTTTTTTCGGACATCGCTTGACAGTGAATCATATACTTAACAATTAACAACAAAAAAGCACAATTACTCACAGA